TTTTATTGAACGACATGTGCAGACTATCAAAAAATTACTTAAGAAAGCAGTCTATGACTCAAAAGACATTTATCTGATCTTGTTGGAATATAGAAATACACCTTTAGGTCAAGGTATTCCATCCCCAGCACAACTTCTTTATGGCCATAGGTTGCGAGGGCAAGTGCCCACAAGGAACAATCTCTTGAAACCCAGAATAGTTGTAGACAAATTTAGAAAAAAACCATTTGCAAAGACAACAAGTACAGAAACACTATTTCGATAGAAATGCTAGAGACCTAACAGCATTAAATCCACATGACCGAGTGATGATCCAAATTGATAAAAGAAACTGGGAGCCTGGTGAAATAATTGAAATAGACAGATATCGACCAAGATCTTATATTGTGCGTATAGACAAAGATGGTAAATACTTCATTCGTAACCGAAGATTTTTAAGGAAGTTCGATGTGAATAGATTTAGAAACATACAGAATCATTCAGGCGAATTGTTGGATCAACCAATTGAGGATGAACAGGCCAGTGAACAAGGGGAAAACATGGATAGCTTCAGTGATAGAGAGGAAAAGGACACAGAGAATGAGCAGTTGGAAAATCAGGAGGTGAACAGCAATGAGGCTACGGGCTTGACAACTCAATCAGGCCGGGTGGTCTGTAGACCATCATGTTTCAAAGACTTTGTGTAAGAGAGGGAGATGTAATGTGTATTGTATTGAAGATGTTGAAATGTATAATATTAGTGAGTTCGCCAGGTGGTAATCGTTGCTGATGCATCATGGGAACGGTACCTGAGTGCTCACTTTGGTTTTAACTTGGAGACAATAAACATAACACATAAAAAGAACTCACCCAGGAAATAAAGCATCTGTGGAGAATGTTTGTTTGGTTAAGTTATGGCAATGCAACACTTGAGCAATCTGCCTAGGGCAGATACCTTCTGGAAGGTCTTTTTATGGGTAACTGGCCCTGTTCAGAAATTGCAGATGTCTTCACATAGCCAGCCTGTCCTGTTAAGGCACGAATCCACAACTGAACTCCCAGTGTTCAGAGAATGGAACTGCTTGGCCACTGGCCATGTGAATGATGGATAGGGTGCATATTGTATCTGTCATTCTCTCCTCTACAGGTGTCATACCACATACACTACACAAAAACCTGGGAACATTACAGTTGAATAGGAACACATACATCACACTACAGAAGCAACTATATTGAATATATGTCATAGTGTTAGGAAATTCCTGAATACAGACACATACTGACACACTTATTTAAGTTTTGTTTCGTTTTGGTTGCTATGCCTTGACTCTGGTCCAGCATAGTACACAGCCACTGGTGTCACCCGAGTATAACCCACTAAACCCAACATAATAATAAATTATCACTGTAATAGTATTTTTTCCCACATGTTGTAAATATTGCATAATAATCTCTTGTATATGTCTAAGTTTACCTCTTTTTGTATTTTTCTGTATTTTAATTCACATTTATGTAATCACTATACTTTATTTTTTGGTGTATTCTATTACCTGCCATGAATCTTATGTTTAACATCAGTTATCAATATGTATCTTTGTATTTTGTATTTGGCATTTTGTAACTTATTCTATTTTAATAAATTGTCCGTGCGCACACAACCTTCCCTTTCCCTTCTCCTTACTCTTCAACATTTTCACCCTCTTGGCCCCTGCCACAAATCTTTCTCTCATTCTTTCCCTTGATATTTTCCTTTCATCCCCTTTTAAAGGCTATACCTAGGAATATGACCTTCTTCTCTTCCCTTATTGTGTGTAAATAGTATATATTAATAGTCTTTTCAATCAAGAAAAAAATTAAATAATAAAAAAATGTGAAAAACAACATTAAAACTATTTTAATAATAGCACTTAACAGATAAAATTTAAATAGATTTAAATATCATAAACTTGTGTTAAAACTATTATATACGGTCTATGTTTTAACTAAATATTAACATAAGTACTAGTATAAGAACTAATATAACAACTAAATGTTACATTTCTATTATACAGATAGTCCTTGATTTTCAAATGTAATATGTTCCTTAAAATGTGTATAAAAATTCAATGTCCAAAATAAGCACATATGTTATAAAAAATTCTGTTCCAAGAGAGTTAAAAAAAAAATTATAAAAGCTTACCTTAATAAGAAAGTTTTACTTGTTTACAATAAATTCTACAATGCATAACACATTATACAAAAATGTTAAAATTATAGATTAAACAGAAAATAGACAAAAATTAATTTTCAAAAATGAATCTGATGTTACTGTGGTTGTTCCACAATGGTTTTCTTACTTTTGTCACTTGTCGCTGTATGTAATAACTCAAGAGACAAGGTTAAACAAAAGAACAACAACTAATTAAAAAACTTTCATAGAAAAGACTAAAATGTCTTCATTTTCATCATCTCAAATTGTAAGGAGTCAATTCACCCTGTTCTACTTTGTTTGGAGATTAGTTTAGTTCGTTTTTTTCTTATTTATTTTGGGTATTTTATTTTTGTTAAAGTAGACTATTGCACCTCACCGGGACAAAATTCAAAATTCTAAAACTCACCTTACTATGATGACTGCTGACAGTAACCTATGACATCATTGAACCCAAAACTTCCCCAGGAAGTTAAAGGAATGATCTCCTGCCCAAATTGTCATCCAAAAAGAACCACAAAAATTTCTAATAAGATTTAAATGTAAGGGCAATGACATGTTTAATGACTATTACTAGAATTACCCAAATGTTAGCTGTTTAAGTATGTAAATAGGGTCAAGTGGGCATAAGAATGTAACATCACCACCGTGCACTATAAAGGAGGAGGTGAAAAAAAGAAATAGAAGAGGTGATGCTAAGAATCAAGCAAGGTTAAGAAAAGGCTTTTAAATTCTATTGATGGCGTAGAAGTTTTTGATGATGGTTAGACGACTTTATTGTGTAAAATTTATTGTAAATTTTGTATATATTTCAAATTTCACTTGTCAGTTTTGTGGAAATAATTTATAAAATAGTTATACTTTAAGTTTTAAGTTCCCAATTGTTGGAAAAGTTATTGTAATATTTGTTCTTTGAATTTGATAAATTATATTTTTATTATTTTAAATTTTTTGCTAACTTACTGTATTTACTTGTTTTACATATTTGTGCTTAAACTAATAAATATATATTTTTGTATTATGTCTAGTAATTATTTCAGGTTTTGACTTCTCTACGCAAGCAATTAACAAAACTTTGTTAAAGTCCAGGTCTGGCACTAACTGAACCCTTGTATATGTAATGCACCATTAGGATATTATCCGGGCTATTGATTGAATCAAATATGTTACATAACCACCAGAAACAACAGCCTTCCATTGCAGAAACGACCTTTCATTAAAGGCTATGCCATTGCAAAAACATGCAAAACAGTCTAAAAAGTTCACAGGTAACAAGCAACAATTGATTAAAAACTACATAACTTATTTTTTAAAAAAGGGCTGACAAATTTACACATTAAAAAATTCTGTAGAAAAGACTAAAATATCTTCATTTTTGTCATGTCAAATCACCAGGAACAACAGTCTTCTGTTGCAGAAATGACCTTTTATTAGTGGCTATGCATCTGCAAGGTGTAAATTTGTCAGCCATTTTTTAAAAGAAATTATGTATTTTTTTAATTAATTGTTGGCTTGTCACCTGTGAACTTTTTAAAAAAGACTGTTTTGCATGTTTTTGCAGAGGTGTAGCCTCTAATGAATTTGACAATAATACTTCTGGTTGACAACAATTATTTCAAGAATTTTCAAATATCTTAACTAATTCTTTCGTGACTTTAGAACACACAGGAAAGTATGAACTTGGTTTATCACATTTTCTCATTGACAGGAATATCGTTGTACATCGAGCTAATACTCATAAAGTAAAGATCTTCTCTGCAATGAAAGACTGTTGTTCCTGGTGATTTGACACGATGAAAATGAAGACATTTTAGTCTTTTCTATGAAAATTTTTTAATTTGTAAATTTGTTGGCTATTTTTAAAAAGAACAACTACATTTATTATCTTTGTCACAAAAACTGTACAACAAAACTCATTGCAATCAGGTCATCAAATGTAATAGTTACAACTGGTTATTCAGATCTGTTTTAGGGTGATGACTCATGAGGTATAGGGTTTGCCACATTACCAAAACCAAGTGACAGAACTATTTAGAAAGCTATTTATCTTTCTAAGGAAAATTTCTGATAGTTATTATGTTTAGTTATGTTTTCCTTTATAGTTATTCTAGTTTTTGTGTTTACATGGTACTTAGTATTGAATTTAATTTATTGTATTCTTTTATTAGTTTCTGTTTTATTTGTGCATATTTTGTGAGCTTATCCTGTTGGATTCCTAAATACTGGTATTTGTACAGCTCATCCTCACTTATCAGTGTGATTACTGTTGTTACAAACAGAACTGGGCTGCAATTTGAAAAAATTGTAGATCTATAAATTCCCACTGTCATCCATCTGTCTGTCTTTCCTAATCTCAAGAATAGAGTTAGATAGATGAATGTTGAGATGAGATACAGAAAGCTTAAGAACAGGAGGTCCCAATTAACTATATACAAACCTCTGATTCAAACCAGAAATCACATTATTTCAACTCAAAACTTCCCCTGAAAGGAGTTAATAGATGACCAGCAAGATTCTATTGCTAACAGGAAAAGTATGATACAGGAGCAAGACTACTAATTTGAGGCAAACATATATTTTAAATTAAATAAATTTTAAAAATATAATTAAAAATTGCAGCCTTGCATTGTGATAATGTCACAATAAATAATTGATTGTTTTAATTATTATTAACTTATATATTTTGGGAGATGCTAATTCTGATACCAATAAAAATGGCTGTTAACAATATCTGTGATTATAGTAAGTCTACAAAATTTACTATAAAATAGTTAAGACCTAAATTTGAATACAGTACTAATACATTATAATTTTTATACAATAATTTTCTTACCTTATCTGTCAAAGCAAATTCAAGAGCATCCTTCTGTTTTCGAAAAATTTTTAAATTTGATGGTTTTCTGAAATTTATTATATTATAAATAACAAATAATTTCAATGTTTCTCTAATATTATTTAAGTTTTAATGAAATAAAATTACAAACAAAAATTAGTTAAGAAAAATCAAGCTGTTGGATCATTCATTACTTTTAAGGCTATAATGTAAATTATTCTATAATTTTTCATTAAAAGTAGTGAATGTTACTTTTTTTATATGAAAATTAATAATTGTAATTACTTTACAATTAAATGAATTCCTAAGTGAGAATTAGTTCTCAATTTCAATTAATACGGCTGATTTCAGAGTCCAATGATTCATCAAAATATATGTTGATAATACACTATTCTCCACAATACACAAAATTACCATTGTGAGGTCGCCGAATTGGAAATTACCAAATGTCAGGATTTATCATATGTAGGATGAAGGAAAGATTTAACATATGTGGAGTGAGGCAGATAGCTGCAGTAACAAATAAACCCATTTATTTATGCTAAATTGATAGTGCGTCTTGTCAATTGTAGGAGCTGGACTGTAGAGTCAATGGCCCTGGGGCAGTCAGTCGAGATGCTTCTATGGGTATCGGGAAGTCCGGTGACAAATGATGAAAACCAGAACAGTCCAAGGCAGGATGGTAAAGTTGGAGATGAAGTGTCCAAATGTAGAACAATGAAGACAATGCAGATAACTTCAGAACAGGAAGCAAAGGACTACAGTCGCGCCATTATTTCATTTATATAATAAATTTTAAGTTTTTTATATGTGATCTTGTTTATAGTACTGTACAGTAGACCCCCCTATAACGCAGAGATACATTCCTTGTTATACGAATTTCGCGTTGTAGGAATCCTTAAATACATGAGCCAATCGCAGCCCGAAACATGTGAAGTTTACAGACTACGGCTGTTTGAAAGGTTTTCTTCCATAAAATTAATCGATTCTAGACTAATTTGACTTAACATTTCCAAAATACGTATACTTTTTTGGGAATAATCCATATAAACTATGCTATAAACAAAAAATTGTAGAATTTCTTACTGAGTGTGCACCGTTTGACGTCGCCATTGCTTAAGCTTGTGTTCGTCGCGGAGCAGCGCACCAAACGGCGGCCACGATTTCTGATGTTATTTTTCTGTGAAAAATTCGTTGAACTTTGGAGACAACATTAATAGAAATAATTTTTATGGCTGTTGCATAAGAAATGTTTCTTTCACAAGAAATGTATAAAATTACAGTACTGTATTAGACTTACGGTACCTAATTTACATACTGTACAGACGATAGTAAACTCAACTTACTCGCCTAAACTCTCCGTAGCATGGCGCTGGACGGCGAAAGTATATGGTTTGCTCAGTTGGAAGCACAATTTTCTATAACTAACATAACTGTCGACAACATGAAATTTAAACACGTCATTGGTGCAATACAGCCTAAAATTTTAAATTTGGTGCAGGACCTAATCCTCAACCCACCCAACCAAAATAAATTTTCCACGCTAAAGGCTCGTCTCATTGACACGCTTCGTACGCGTCCGCCATGACGTCCGCGACGAAAAAAGCTTAAGCAACGGCGTCTTCGAACAGGGTACACAGAGTTCATCGGAGAAAAGGTGACCAGCCAGAATCTCCATATCAGAGAAGGAAAGAAGAAGAAGAAGAACGGGGTACACTCGATAAGTATTCCGACAATATTTTATTCATAGCATATTTATATTGATCATTTCAAACAAATTATACGTGTTTTGGAAATATTCGAGTGAAATTAGTCTAGATTTGATTAATTTTATAGAAGAAAACCTCTCAAATAGCATAACCCACTAAACAGCACAAGTGCCGGTATTTCTTGAGTAAAACTTATTTATAAAGAATTGTTTTATCATATTTGTTTTATTATTATTATTTCCCATCCTGAAAAAAGTTACGAGGCCCAAAAATAAAAACTTGGCAATCAGCGTTGTAACTAGCATTTCGTTTGCCCTGTGCAAAGTATAACACCTGTACTGTACAACATTGATTTCCAGTGTAATCAATTTTAGAAATTACATGGGTTATGATAAGATTATAATCCTATTAGTGGAAAATAAACTTACTCTTCCCGCGATTCTGTCATTTCCTTTTCTTCTTACATACGGTAAACGTCTTGGCCGACCTATATCAGCTACTAAAACGAAACTAAAACTATTGTCAAGAAACTTGTCTTATCTTGTCTTATCATAGAGTTCATATGGAGATTTTAGTCTCTGTCAAGAAACTTAATACTTATGGTTCTTATTATCATTTCATTTTTCCCGGAAAATTCTGCAATATTTCCTTACGTTATTGCTGCCAATTGTAGATTATTTATTTTTCTCAATAACATTGCGGTTTTTTAACATATCAAAATTTTAAAATAGTAAAATAAAAAAAACACGAACATTTTGATTTAAATTAATTAATATATATATATATATATACAGTGGTGTCTCGTATAACGTACGCCTCGAATAACGGACGTTGCGAACAACGGACTTTCTATTTGGCCGTTACGTTAGGCGAACAATGGACTTTCTGCGAAAAAGTGCGAATGTCGTTTCCACTCTTTTGCGGTTGCCAATGACAATCTGCTATTTTTATAATATATTAATATTATTAGTATATCTGAAGTACAGAGCTCCCGTTGGGATTCGGCTTGCTCCCTTGTTTATTATGTACATCACCTCAGTGCAGGGTATTTACATTTATTCAAGTGTTGTGCAAATCATGGCTTCTAAAAAACAGAAAGGTGATTTCAATTGAAACAATGCAAGAAATCATCAGAAGGAGTGAAAGTTGACAAAAACTTCCTTGTCAAATGGGGAGAGGTTCAGAAGTTTACCTACATTCATTATCCAAACAGAGCTGAGGACAACAGGATCAATGACACCCTTGCCCGTCATTTCTGACAGGTGTTGAAGAAGAGAGAGAAACAGACCA